TAAACTTTATTTTCGATGTGGTTGCTGTGGCATTTACAAAGGCAGAACAGAAGGGCCATTGCGCAAATTGGGTTTTTGAATGTAGTATGAATGGGGATCAACGCAAGGTTGTCATGCAAAACTCCACACAGCCGGTAACCGGATAGGACCGTGCTTACAAAACACCAAACTGCTCGATTGCCAAGCATTTGTTGGTGACGCTAAACCACCTTGATTGAGAGAAAGCGTTTCGGCTGATCTATACTGATGATAGCACTGGAATGCTCAAGATCGTTGAAGTGATTGCAATCAAGCGATGGAAACCTATCTTGTGGTCTTGCCGTTTTAACCCTTCCTTCTCTCATTCGCGCCTGTTTAGTGTGTAGTNGTAGTCCATTCCTTAACCTTATTTAAATAATGTCGTGGTCTGCAGTCGACACCAGTTAAAATCTAGCAAGCAACCTCAGTGGATACCCTTACATATACGTTGGGTTTGGTGTGGGGTAATAAAGTATTCATCTCCGTGATTGGGGCTTCAAACACTAAACGTTGGGAGGAAGAGATCTGACGCGAAAGCCAGTGTGTCACACAAGTTTGATATTTCATAATAAGCAGTATATGAATGACTCGACGAAATTGCCCTGGAAGCGAACGATCGCTTTCGCGGTCGCCGCACGTCAGGCATGGGAATCCGGCACTTTTTTGTTACTTCATTCATATACTTGTACCCAGGAATTGTATGTCCGTCACAATAGCCTAATTTCTAACACTGAATGTTTTTGGATAGACAGCTATTTTAGAGCCAGTTCACTGAAGAACTATTACTGTGATCCTATGGGCGGTGATGGTCCGGTGGTAGCGTCACCAAATTATCACCAAGCGGGGATGTGTGTGTTCGAATCCCATCACCACCGCCTGACTTCCCCCATTTCGTGTGTTGAATGCCCTTTGATTGGCCGCTTCCTCCTTCATGAAAATTATATTCTTGTATATGCAATAAAGGGGGAAGTAAAAACCGAAAAGAATCGTAGGTGGGTTAGATGCTTTTAACCCCAACAAACATGACTTGAGCATCTTTAAAGAATATTTCATAATAAGAAGTACGTGAATGACTCGAAGAAATTTCCCTTGAAGAAAACGATGAGAAGATCCATCGTTTTTGCTTTGACCGTGTACCAGAATCCGTCGTCAAGTTTATTAACATTTGGATAACTTCCTGGACGTCCATTGTTGGTCGAGTCCTTCGGCGACTGATTGAACTGGGAGGCGATCAGAGGACTCCACTTTGAAAGTCAACTTACAAGCACCGCTTACATTGTATTGTGAGTATCCGTTGCCGGAAGCCTTTTTGCAGTTGTTCACCAGGTGTGCGAAGAATTTAGCTCACAACAAAGCATGAGTCGTGTCCACAGGTGTTAAACATTGACAGCGGCAGTCTTAAATAGATCCTCACTAGTGGTGGCTGATGGTGATGTGGTCGATTTGGGTAAATCGCTGTAAAGTTCCCACTTGAACACTGGAGTTTTCGGCAACTATCACGATGTCTTTCGACGGGACACTTTGGATCAGTTGAGAAAGGTCACTGAAATATTCATCTTTTATTTCGGGCGCACTGCAACCATTCAATGCATGCACCGACACGACGAATAAGCACCGACGATTCGTTCTGTAGCTGTTGACCTGTACTGAACCGTCAAGAAGTACAACGCACGGTTGGCTACTGATTGGAATCCGGTTAAGCGACAGCTCGGTCTTGGCACTTGATGCAATCTCGAAACCAGTGACACTGCGAGCACCCAAGGCCGAATCGCCTGACACACAAAGTATGAAGTGTAAGGATTATTTTGGGTCCCGAGAACGCAGGAAGATGATAGAAGCAGGGTCTTGTATGTGTTTCGGAGACACAAAATATAAATAAAGTGAAGATTTCAAAGGTTGTAGCAAAGGCCGCTTATTGGTGGACCTGATGGCGTGCGCGGATATTGAGTGCAGCAAAGAGAAGGGGAGATTTTGGCTTTATCAATGCTGTAGCTCTTGATTGGTTGATCTTAGAGGTTAAACGCTGAATGGTATCCCATGGACGGCGTAAACAGAAGGTAATTTGTATGATTTGGAAGTGAAAGAATTAGGCAGAAAAGATAGAGGGTTTTTCAAGTGAACACGAGACTTTGAGGCATGATATACTTCACGGTAACCAACGAATTTATTTTTCTCTGAGAACCCTGATTAGAGCCTTTGGCTCAAAATTTTGACATACAGGGCAGCGGAGGCGCGCAAGCTATTACGTTACGTCAAAGTGTAGTCTTTACGGTATTGTAGCTAGAACATAAAGATGTATAGAGGCGTCTTATGAAAAATGCCGATGAAGAATCCCCGTGGAAAATGAAGACCAATAAATAAATCTTTCCCCAACCGTTATGATCCCTGCTTTATCTAATTTCCGATTGCGCTACTGACAAGAAAAGATTGGTTTATCCATTGCTCTGTTTGCATAATGAAGACATTCACCGGTTAGTACACTACTTTCCATCGGTAAGACAGAAAAACATTTGATAAAAGACACGGCATCGAGGGCCGGGAAAATTTGTTTGTCGGAGGTAATATAAAATGCGCTTCAATTCATCATCGGTGTACGCCGGAGTAATGGCTATCCGGGTAGATTTCTAAGGAAAAATAGCACTCATAAGAGATGAAACAAATATTCTTCTCCTTTACTCAACAAACTACATCTTAACCTCGGAAATGACAAACGCCGCCTCTGTAACCAGTCCCGAAAACTGATTTTTTTCACCAACAGTCAACATCACCACGAAAAAAGACGTTAAAGAAAAGCTCCGCTTCGATTGACACGATGAAACATGCACCGATCGTGCTAGCAATGACACCACGGAGAGGGAACACATACAAAGAGGGACGAACGTGCTTGCTTAACTCGGTTACGGTGCTGAGGCAGTTGCACTTTTGATAATTAAAGTGCAGTTGAATACAGCAGCTGATCCCTAATGAACTGTCACTGAATTGATATCAATCAAGCACGTCTGAGGTGCCAACTTTGTTCAGCAAATTAAATTATAAACAATCGATCATATGAAACCAAAGGAAATATGAGTTAACGTGTTATATAAAACAAAGAAAACCTGTAGCCGATAAGCAGAACACAGCGACCTTGACCTAGTTGAGTAGCATAAATAATGCCTATACCGTTCTCCAAAGTAGCTCTCCCCCTCCGCCTGGCTATGGTCCTGAGGCTACACACAGTTTGGTTGCATGGGTCTTCTTCCTAGAGAACTGGAACCGTTCTCGTTAGCAAAAACTGTCGTGAAACATATAAGATGATGTAATCGAAACGTTATTGAGAGATACATTTGAAACCCACACACTTTTATGTGCAAGCCAAAACAGACAGATATGATCGTGATGTGTGTAACGAGTATGTGCAATACGGTCGACAGGTAGACAAAAATGGTGCTATCACACGAACCAAACAGAGAAGCAATATGAAAAATGTACAAAGTGCCGAAAACAATTAACACATTGACTGCGTAAAAATGTGAATAGAAAGCCTCACACTAAACCAGTCGAATATTATCGTAACCTCCGAAAGCCTTAGTATGGTTAGGGGGTGCGTGTCTCGGTCTGTGGCTGGTTACCCTTCCCTTGAACCTCGCGAAATGTTCTTGTACGACCAAGCATCTCAAACAGCCTCCACTGAGGAAGTCCTACTCACTGCCTTCTCATGGCAGAGGCACGGGAAGACAAAAAGTTGGCTCAAAACCATGGTTCGAAACCAACGAATGAGAACTGTAGGAACCACACACACTTATATCTTCCTGGTTGTGGATGCGACATAAGTTAAAAATCACCGCTGGTCACCACAGACTGTCGAGTAGCTTTATCTTAACTTAGGTGCACAAGCACATCCATGCAGTTTAATTTCGATTCACATTGACATGCGTGCATCTGTGCGCAGACAGATTTTTCAAAGAGAGCCGAGTGAACCCAGTCAGCGCAATAAGCTGATACTGGACGGGATTGGTCACAGAAAAATATACTGGTTCCCTTAGGGTCCAATACTGAAATCGTAACAGTCCATTTAGTAATCGAGTGTTCCCGTTAGCGCAGATAAGTTCATCCGTACACACACGCACACACACAAACTGGCCATTGCAATGTCCTATCAGACCATGTGATGCTAAGTGAATGGTCATTGATGATAACTCACCAAGTAAACGGCTCAAGCGATACAGTTCTCGCACTGATGGGAATATGTTATACACCAGAGAATTATCAAGTCGCAGCGCAACATAGCAATAGTCGCTGGTCCATCAAACACCCTCAAAAATGGCGCATTATGTGGAATGACGGGTGTACCGACTTTAACTCATCTGGATGCCAGACGATTTTTTACCACAACTTAATGAGATGAACGGTAAAAGCGGTTGCAAAACCGGAAATTGGAAGGACGTGGAATTGAGTAGGATGAAAGCGAAGCTGTCGACTATCAAATGAAAACAATCTACCGGCTAAAAAAAAGTTCATAGGGCATCATACCTGAATCCCAGCGTCACGTTCAGCCTCTGCCACACCGATATCTGCGTCTCGTTTGACATTGGCCGTCTGGGCTCGGCCAAGCGAATTCAAGTATTCTACACGGTCATAAACGTCCTTGATGGTGAAGCTCAGAATCTCTATGCCCATCCGACCCACATCTGGGGCAGCAACTTCCCGAACTAAAGCGGCAAACTGATCGCGATCCTAAAAAAGTGTTAAAAAAAAGTGTCAATTAATAGGCATAAAAGGAAAGTGTACCAGTAGTAGATGACAAAGAATATATATTCAGCAGCCGAATACCCCACAGAAAACCAAGAGACATATAAATACATTAAGTTTATGAAACTAAGGCTCTGGATGAATCCTGGAAAACACGGTCTGGGAGACAAAAAGCGAACAAGACAAGAAACTGTGGAAGAGATGCGCATTATTGTGCATGCTTAAATGTGTCTGTGCTTAGAGCGAGTAGAGGGGAGTGAAATAAATGTAAGTGATGCGAAAATAAGAAGATGACACGAGTCGGACAGCATTTTGTGATCCAGTTTATCTCAACCTTTGTTGTATTGTGAGACAATGTAGTTATGTTAGTTCCGGGTAAATCACAACACATGGATAACTAGCTAAGTGTTCTGGATATCACACGTACATCCCTTCGTAATAAACCAAGAAAAATCACTGGGGAGGCATAGACCCAGTGTGGAAAGATGCAATTACGTGCAAACTGTTTTATTTTTATAGTTCTGGGGAGCGGATAAGCACCTTAAGCGTAGGGCCAAAAACGAGAGCCCTCCAACCTTTGCGAAGACACTATCAATGTGCTCAGATCAAGTAAGGTATTGGTTAAGATTAACACCCAAGTATTCAACTGACGTTCAACGACTGAGGGATGTATCGTTAATGAATGGTGGCTGGCGTATCTCGAAAAATGTGTGAGTCGCCCCTACGGAAACAACAGCCTAATTTGACGGGCTCCTGAAAATGTTATGTGTAGACCACTCATTAATCTCTGAGATACTAAGTGTGATTTTGGAAAGAACTGAGCTATTTTGATAGGGTAAGCCGAAGGCATCAGCGTATGTAATCAGCAAGCAGCCCTTACAAACAGGCACAGAAGTTAAATAATTGGTAAAAAAGAAAATTAAAATGGTATTCTGAAACACTCCCAATTCGGAAGTTAATGCTGAAGACACTGTCTCTTTGGCGTATAAACCGTTTTCGAAAGGAAAACTCGTCACTCCGGAAGGTTTCAGTTTCAGTTTGTACAACCACTAAGCATGCACTTTCATGTGCTGGTTTTGGCTGCTCATTTGGATGAACAATAGGTGAAAGACAGGAAAATTGAAGGTAGAGTCGAAGAGANTCGAAGAGAAAATAGAGAATTTTAGTGGACTAAGGTTGCCAGGAAATTGAGATGCACGAATGCCACTGTTGACGATACTCTGCCATATCACTCAGTGTCTCTAACCATCGGTTATGATCATCCCGAGGTCCCCATTCAGGAGCCTAACGGAACCCGTGACCGACTCTCCTGGTTAGGGTTTTCATACCCTCTTGCTAGTTCTTAGTTTGACCGCCCTTGGCTTTATTTCATTCACTAACTGCCTCGGGAAACATCGCTCGTCGTGACAACCCATTTGATGGCACGCGCAACACCTGCCCCAACCGACGTTGTCTACGGAGGTAGACAGAAAAATATCACTTTTAAATGTCGCTGTGGTCTAAAAAGCACATTCTTACAGCTTCACGTTAACTATGGATCGATGAAAATAAAACGCACGACGGAAGTTAGAGCATCAAGGGTAGAAAATTCGCAGAAATAAACAGTGATTGCAGTCAGCTTTATTCAGCTATGGGGCAACTTGCGTAAAATTGTTGTCTCAAATACCCTCAGAACGGTCGAAGTACAAGCTACGGGACGAAATTTAGTGGAACCTTTCTTGGTAATTCTGACACTTCTCCAGCAATCTGGCACTCAACGTTGAAAAATACAACAGTTGAAGATTTCGAATAGGATAGGTGACAAAGCACTGGGATACTCTTTTAACACAAAGCTGCCACCACCAACTTTGGTAGTATACAGCTTTGTTGTCGTCCGGCTCAGTATCATGCCTATCCTATCGGGGCCTTATGTGGTTCACCACCCCAGGAGCTTAGGTTACTGGTTTCCATCACTGAACAGCATGTCATCATGACTATGGGGTCCGTCACTTCTGCAGTTCATCGCACACTGGTGTGAAATTTAGAAAAATTAGTGGTGATTCATCTGGTTCGCCAGCTTTCTGGGGTTTTAACGATTGCAGCTCTTCACATCTTTCTGTCGGATCGGTCACCCACGGAATAATGTGGGGAACTCAAGCCTTCGAGCAGATCTGGGGTTTCCTAGTCTGATGAATCTACCGTTTAAATATTCAATAGGAGGGTGAAAGTACTCCGTAACATAGTAAATCATTCCGCAGTGCAGGACGATTCACGGAGTCGAAGGCCACCTTGATGTCCAAAAACACGATAGTAATTTATCGCTTGTATGTTGTGCTGTTTCTACAGCTTACGAAGGTTTAACCAGAGCTCATATCACTCATAAAATTGTTTCTCAACACGCCAAAGTTTGCGATAAACTTGCTTGTAAAATACTATGTAACCCCGACGCCCGCTTAACGCCGCATTATTTAAATGTATTACAATCTCTTCTACTCGCGCCAAGTACATACAACCTCAATCAGGAACAGAAGCACACAACTCTTCCACATTTCTTTATCTTTTTATTTCACCCGGAACTTTTAGTCGTAATTGGCCAGCGGCATCAAATTAACTACATACTTGTAGTGTATTTAACTGCCCTTCGTTTTAATTTGTTATACCTTAGGAAGCTGAGTACGCACACGAGGATGTAACAAAACAATTTCTTGACTGAATTATTACGGATTGCCTCGACTTGAACTTTAATCACATCCACAACCTCATCGATAACCATATTATTTGTTTTTTGTATCGTACCGATCTTTTCACTCTTTATAAAGCATTTTCTGTAATCGTTTTGACTTCTTTATCCCTGAACTGTTGTTGTAATTCTAAAAAGGGGGTGCTGTTTGAGGATAGTTGTTTATTGCCAATAACGGTCTGGATATGGTTAAATTGTCATTCATATAACAAAATATCTCATTTGGAACACGTTAACAGAATTCCCGCGCACACACAGGACAGTTCATGGAACGGTCCACTACCAGATGCGCATTCTTGTATTAGCCATACCGAACGACAGCAGTTTGCTTCAACGAGTCTTGTTCGCTGATAGCATCTTTTTGCGTACTACTCACAAGTGAGTATCTCACACCACCATTACCTCAACGACCTAACAATCAGTGACATTAAATGACTTCAAGTTTATTGCTTCGACTTTCTATAAAACGAGACTTCAAATACCTCTTCATTAACTTCGGACGCTTCTCTCTTGGAAGCATGTTTTATCTTGTTTTTTTTTTCGTTGTATACTGCACACGAAACCTCTTGCTTTTCGTACATCTAAAACAACCGATTTTCTTGTCGCACTGAACACCGCCATCTCGGACTTTGCTCTCATATTGCAGTTTTTCAGTATTGCAGCCATATTCAAGGAAATCTTTTTCATGACTTTCTGGCTTCTATTAACTATGTTTAAAGATAAGTTATCAGTCTTATTGGTGATTCAGCACTGATCTCCGCCATGCAACTACTAGCCCAATATTAGTGTTTCCATTTATAGTTGCCATAGTTTTTTTCGGTCACCGTTCGCTTGATCCCGACCTGCTGAACGCACTTGCGGAACGATTATTTCCATTTGTCGCATTTGTTTTCATTTCAATAAACTTTTAGGCCGTGGATTACCCCCCCCCCGTCTCAGCTTCTCCTTCGCGTTCATCTCTTTAATTTGTGCAATCTGAAAACTTGAAAACACGGAATGCACACGCTGATTCCGATCTAGTACGGTAGGCTGTTAGAATATAACTTTGATTCCTCCTATTGTTTGCCAAGGAAAAAAATGTGAAAATTTATATAGTTTGTAAACTTGGCAAATTAAAAACTCAAAAGCCCATATGGTTGAATTTTATGTGGCAGCACTTGTCTCAGTTAGGTACTTACTCTGTAGATTGCTTCTACTGTCAAGGTTCCAAGAATGGCTCGAAGATGACCCTCCATGGTTTGC